CATTTCTGGTATCAATCATGATTATTTTTTAGAGTCACAAGGTCTTTTTTTAGTCTGTTCTAAAATCGGATGATTCGGATATATTTTCTGAATTTCCTGGATTGCACTTAAGGAATCTATGAATATTACTGTCATGATTTCAGGTCGATTAAGAGTTTGTTGTACTGCCTTAGATATTGCAAAAAGTTCAGCAGAATATATTGAGTAGTTCTTAGGTAGTGGAAACTTGAGCACAGAATCATCTGTGACAATGGCGGATCCTACTGTTTCCAATTCGGGTGTTTTTGATGCATCGGTATAAACTAGTTAACAGGATAAATATTTATTTTTAATATTGTAGAAGTATTGGAGAAAAAGAGATGAAGGGGTATTGTTCTTAGTATAAGTTGACAGATCTGTGTTAGAATATGGAATTTGTATAATCCAAGGGGGAGCATAATCATTATTGGTATCATAATACCCGGAAATGTGAAATTGCTAATTCTTTTGCTAAATAATGGTCGAAGATTAGAATTTTGATTGTTATTAGAATGGTAATGGGTGGAGAAAGCATAGGGGTTAGCCGGGTTGTTTGGATTAGTTGATAGCTTGCTTGCGTATTGTAAACTGAGACGTAATCTTCTAATAGAAAGTGGAGATTCATTTGCTTCGAAATAAAGACTTTCAACTGGACTGGTTCTGTAGGCTCCTAGAGCTAGTCTTAGTGCGGTATTTTGTACAATATCTAATTTTTAATGTTGAGTCCTTAGCTGAATTATATACAATTGATATATAATCTAATTTACTAATTGGATGTGTTTGTTCCAAGTAAGTTTTGAATCAAAAATCATACCTAGAAATCTAAGTTCCTTAACGTTTTCTAAAACTTGATCATACAGTGTTAATTTTGGAAGATTTGCAACAATTTGATGTTTTCGATAAAAGCACATTACCTACTTTGGATTTTCAAAATTGTTACCCCTTAAAGTTAAGTTTAAAGAATGGCCTAATTTGTTTATAAAGTTTTTCGTAAATAACGAGAAATAAATATGAAATAATGCAATTTCGATATTAGTTTAACTGGCAATTTTTCACAAATTAAAATTTTCTAGGACCATTTGTGACCGAGATAGCCATTTTTGTTAGAAATTCACCATTTGTATATTTATTAATATTTAGAAATAAAGCTGTGCGAATATCACATTCAATACTTATGCTTGAGAATGACTATTATAAAAATTGAAAATAGTGTATTTTATTATCATAAATAACGATTTGAAAAGTGCGAATTTCAAATAATTAAAAATGGAAAGTGGTGGGGGAGAGTAAACTCGTCTCTTTCAAAAGTGAAATTGGAACTTCAAATTGAATTCGTCTGAAAGTTTTACAATATCTCAGGAAGTACTGTGCCAATTTTATGTTTTTTTTTTAATCGGGGTATCTCGAAAAAATAATAAATGCAGACTCAGTTTTGTAGTTGCCACACTCAAGAAACAGTTGTAATTTAGACTTTAGAATATAAAGTGTGCACTATGTACGTGGCTAAAGAAGACGTTTATTTTTTATTATTTAATACACGCTAAATAATTCTTTTTTATATTTATAATAATTAGTATTGTGTATTAATCTGCGTATTACACAATCGGAAAATTATAAAAAAGTTGTGCAGTGCTAATGCACTATAAGAATTTTTATAATCATTAAGCGCAATTAACTAAAACCATAATACTACGTGATTAAATTTATTGAAAATACTTTTTTATATTTGTTTTTAAAAAAAGGTTTTAAATACAAAAACAAAATTGTATTGTTCTATTGATAATAACTGCATTCCTCAATTAAAAATAATCTTAAGTTCTTTTTCTTTTATTTTTTTTGTAAAAAAATTTAACCACTGTTTATACTTCAATAATTTTTCATTTAATTATTGTAACAATTTTTAATTTTAAACGATATAATTCGAACTTATTATTATCGAAGTTATTTTTTATGCATTTATTCACTATGAATGCTGCTGAAAGTGAGAGCTCTGTCTAGCTCATTTGAAGAAGATAGAAAGGGATTCTACCTCTGCCTGATTTGTGAGAAAGAATTCACTGCGACATCAAGCATCGTTGATAAAACAGCAGCTTCGAGATTTATTGCTTCTAGTAAACGAAGAAATGATTTTAAGTATAACATTATGTATAAAGTTTTAAAATTCATAATAGTTGTTATGCTAATTATAATAATATACAACGGATTGAAAAAGCTCGTTATTTATCGAATGAAAATTTAAGAACCGTACGAGATTGTTTAAAAAAAGTTTTAAGACATCATTTTTTTTTAATTTGTGAAAAATTGCCTGCTAAACGAATATCGAAATGTCATTATTTCATATTCATTTCTCGCAAAGTTATTAACGAAAAACTTTAAAAAGCAAATTATTTAAGCCATTATTTAACCTTAACTTTAAGGGGTTATAATTTTTAAAATGTTATTTCAACTTATATATCGATCGGTTGTAAAACGTCTTGCGAAGATGTCCGATGCCTAATTTCCATGACACTCTATCATCCCATTGGCCCTCTCTAAGATCTCTTGCGCTCATCGCCTTCGTTACTCCCTCTCTCCAAGATTTCTCGGGTCTTCCTTTCTTTCTGCTGTTTGGTGGTACCCATTGCATAATTATTTTTGGGAGTCTTGAGTTATCCATCCTCTGGACGTGTCCGTACCATATCAGCTGTTTTCTTTCTATGTCTGTTGTTAGAGAGCCGCCAACCCCATTCGCTGTCTTATCTCATCATTACGTATTCTCTCTCTGCGTGACACTCCTACTGATCTTCTAAAAGCGTCCATTTCTACTGCTTCCAGTTTTCTTCTGTTGTTTTCGGTTATTCGCCAAGTTTCCGCTCCGTACAATAGACTGCTTTTAATAAGAGATTCGTCGATATTGTGTTTTCTTCTTTTTTCTTATTTCATGACTCCACAGTACGCTGTTTAGACAAACTATTGTTTTTCTGGATTGTGTTATTCTTCTCTTTATTTTTTCATCGTCTTTCCCGTTGTGTCAAACAGGATTCCTAGGTATGTGTAATGGTCGCAGGGCATGATGATTTCGTTATTTTCTAATGTGATGTTCGATAGTTCGGTACCTATTAGCAGGTATTTTGTTTTTTCTGTATTAATTGTTAGTCCCCACTTTTTGAAAAGAGGTATTAGAATGCATGATTTCCATTCTTGAGGAATTCTGTTTTGTTAGTCATGTTCTAAACTACAATTTCAGTACACTTACATTTCTCTTTTTAGCTCATAAGTCCTTATAATAACGCTTTCGCTTTCTGTCGAAGCTTCTTTTACTGCTTTTGTCGATGTCGATTCGTTGAGGATCATCTCCTTTCATCATCCAGCAGTAGTCTGCTACTATGATCACGTTCCATCTTTCTTGGTATCTTCTTTCCATTTCTTTGATATATTTCGCCTTGCTGTTCACTGACATAGTAAACCTAGACACAGGTTTGCCGGGAAATAGTCAAGATGTGAGTAGAGAAATTGAAGTTTAATGCTCATGTTACAGCCCAGCTTCTTAAAGTTGTCAATCATGTTTGCGACGATTGTCTTGTAGTTTGGATTTTTTTTGTTACCTAGGAAACCGGTAACAACTAATTTAAAAGATGTCCATACTGCCTTTTCATTTGTTTCTATTTTGTCCACAAAGTTGGGATTTGTCATTAGTTTTCTAATGTCCGGTCCGAGAAAGATTCTTTCTTGCCGTGGATAAACCAGACAACTGGGCACAAAGATATCTGAAACACTTCCCTTCTGTAGTCAATACCTTGACAAATTGTTTCATCAGCCCCAACTTAATGTGAAGTGGTGGAAGTAACACCTTTTTGGGATTCACAAGGCTTTTCCTCTCAACATTTTCAACCCCTACTTGTAAACGTTCTCTTAAGGGCCAAGCTTTGTTTATATATTGTTGCTTTCTGTCTCCACCGTCTCATTCAAAGAGAAAGCAAGGGAACTTTGTATAGCCACTTTGTTGACAGAGCAGCATTGAAATCACTTTTAAATCGCCACATAATCCATGTCCATTTGTGGTCTTAATAGCAGAGTTTGCTTAAGACCAGTTCAAGGTTTTTGTAACATTCTTTTAAGTGAGCCAAGTTGAACGAGTGTCCAACTGGTATAGAAGCAAACTTATTGCCATCGTGTAGAAGTACTGCTTTAAGGCTTCTTTTTGAATAATCAATAAAAAGTCTCCACTCATTAGGAGCATATTCTAGTTTGAAATATGCCATAAGTCCTGGAACATCACTGTAAAACACCAGGTCATCTTCTTGGGAGAAGGAAGATGCAAATTCCTTTTCCCTACATCGATACCAAGGAAAGGATGTATCCGGAGCCAACATATGTTTATTTTTCAATCTAGATCCTAAAACTTCTGCCGATTCTTTAGAAAGTCCTAGGTTTCTTACTAAATCGTTCAGTTCAAATTGTGAGAATGGAATGGAATCGGTTGTGCCAAAGTCGTAGCAATCACTGTCTTCTTCACTATAACCTTGTTGATCTAGTGGCTCGTGATCATCATGTAGATCATCCAAAGAATCTAGAGGAGAGGGTTTGTCACTTCAGTCGACTTATGAGGAACAGGGTGAATGGCTGATTGAATGTTAGGGTAAGAAATATCCTTTTTGTATCTTAAATTGAAACCATTGCCGCAACTCTTCAACACACACTGAACAAACTTTGTGTGGGGCCCAAGGTTTATCTTGATCGCCAGAACTTTATACCAGAATAAGCGAAATATACTTTTTCAACAAAATCGGAAACGTTTTTGTGTTTATTTTTAACGGTATAGTTACAACAAATATAATAGAAAATCTGGCGGGTTTATACATCATCTGGTAGCCAGTTGATCAGTTACGAACTGATCAACTAAGAATACTCGTTCTTTAATAGTCACCCCTGCATATGAAAGAATATTTATGTCGAATAATTTAATGTGATAATAGAATTAATCAATCTATTCTATATTCCAGCAAAAAAGAAGAAATTGAGGAACAAATAATGCCAAATAATGAACAAGAAGGTGGAACTGGAAATAATTCGAAAAAAAAGAGACCAGAAAGACAGCTTTACATACCCCCAGCTCAAAGGAGGTTACCTATATCTGAGTTACCAAATGGTTCAAAAACGGACCATGGATCAAGTCCAAAAGGAAGAAAACAAGTTTCTACTATTAATAGAAAAAAAGAACTACCAGAAAAGGTAAAAGTTGTGACTGAAACCGAGAGACCAAACTACAACGAAGATATTAAGGATGCCATATTAAATCAATTTAATGAAATTAGTAATTTTTCATACATGTGGTGGAAGTATGAACTGTTTGACTCATCTGAAAATAATTTAACGAGTGTGTATTCTAAGTCATTTTTGAAAACAAGTCGATTGTGCAATTTCAATTTTAGTGGTTCTAACATTTACGAATTAAAAACTACGAAGTCCTTGTATATTTTAAGTAAAGATTATGTTCTTTGGCAACCGAAATTTGATGTGCTCATGAATAATAAGAAATCCAATTTGAAAGCCATTTCTCCTAGTAACCTTGATCAGTCAGATGTAAAGGTAAGTTTTATGCAAACTTTTAAATTAATTTCATCTCTTTTTGAAAGGGGGTTTGTAAATATGTATTTTTAAAATATATGCATAACAATTTCTATCGTTTAATTAACATATTTTTAACATCTTATAATTTTTTATTATACAAGGTGATTATAATTGAAACCACTGATGCAAGAAGGTGCTAATTAATTTTGTTTAACAGTTTTTTTATTATTTTGTTATCCAACGCTCACTTTATTTCAAGATATCATTTAATTGTGTATTATAAAGTTATTGTTATATCATATAATTGTTAGAACTATAATTAACCTTATTTTATATCACTCATTCATAAAACATTGAATCAAAAATAACCAAATATAAACCAGGTCGGATCTGTTTTGAGATGGATGTGAGAGGCGGCATTCGGAATTTTGCAGAAATAGTTAGATCATATTGTTCTGAAGCTATTTTCTTGTGGCGTTTTAAAGTAATTACTATTTTAATGAGAATAAGCCACAATTGAAATTTAATATAAGTTTATTGACGTTTCAATTTCCACTTCAGAAATCGTTTTCAAAATACAAACATTAATAAATTTTAAAAAAATTGTTTTTTGTTACTTGGTGAAAAATTCTGCCAATTTAATTTTATCTGACTCATTTATATTGACAATTCAGATGTATATTATACATTTTAAAGTAGACGACTGAAAAATGATATTGCCAATAATTCTGAGTTGCGTTCCTGGGACAACTTTATTGTAAGATATTTCATTCGATTACATGAAATCAAGTGTAACTTGAGAATATCCGACAAAAAAAGCGTGATTTTTTCCAGTGGTTTCCAAAGTTTTTGAAAAGCTGACACTAATATGAAAACATATTATGCCTATACTAGAAAACAAAAAACTAATACACAAGCATAATTGCTCTGAATGAATGTTAGTTGTTGAGGTAGTAGTTTATTTTGCATCAACAAGAGCTTGACAATTTTTATCAGTTAACTCAGTAATTAACACGTTCTCTACCATGTTGGTCCGATGGGACCATCGCTGATGTTGCTTCAATAGGCCACGTTGGTCCAATGGGACCAAAGCTAGTTTTGCATGAACAGACCATGTTGGCTCTATGGGACCAACATTTATTCTGATATGTACCGAGCCGTTGATGTTTATTTAGTATTAAATAACCATGGGAGTGGACCAACGAGGCCTACAAGCTATGTGCTGTATACAGAATTTGTGCGATTTATGGAATATGACAAATGTGGTCCCATATAAGTCAAAAAGGTTATTTACAACTTTGGGATAATATTTATTGATACAAACATGTTTTTCAACAACAGAAAAATCAAATAATGTAAAACAACCAATAAAAAAAGGTATTTAAATTCTATGTAATTCATTAAAACAACGTATACACAAAAAAGGTTCCTTGTCATAGCTTTTGCAAGAGTTTTTACCTTTTTAGTTTTGTTCATAGCATACTGACGGCCGTGTTGCTCACTATTTTTTTTGTAGCAGTCTTGCAAATCTTCCTTCGTTGATGTTTACTTCCTTCTGCTTTCTGTTCAAGCTGATTATATTTATTTGACACTCTTCGTGGTTCTGTCGCGTCGTGGTTTGATTATAAGTAACTAGACGTTTCATTATTTTTTTTTAATCTGTCACCGACATGATATTACTTGTCACAAGCTTATAATATATTAAAAAAGAATTTATAACTGATAATTTTGATAAAAAAGTTAACAATAATTCAAACCCAACTTTTTTTAAACTATTTTACGCTTTTCCTAAGGGGGTTGGAATACGTTCCCATTTGATCAGAGAAGTCTACTGCCGCTTTGCCTTTATTGCAATCTATTACCACCTAGGGTTTCAGTGTGTAGTAGAAAGCATGTAAATATTTCTTTTGCCTTTCTAGTTCGTAATGGTCACTCCATCATCATTTTCCATAGAAGCAATCTGCCCTTTATTTAATTTTGCAACTACTACTTCTTGGGGTAAATATTTTCGATTTTTTCGAACAGTTCCTATCAGGTGTGTATCGACGGACAACATTTTTTTGCTAGCGGTAAACTTGTAAACCAATTATCGGTTATCAGCGTTCTTCCTTGATGTACTAAATCCTCCATTTCCAGTCGGAATGTCGACAAGTGGCTTTAACTTATACAGTTTATCTCCAATAGTCTGCGATTTTCGTCATTTTCACTAAACCCATCCAGGCAGCCAGTCCTAAAAATTTTCTAATTTCAATATTTGTCCTTGGAATTCAGTCATGTATGCAAGAGCTTGGTATTGCGTCTGCAGCCAGTACAGACTGAGTTGCATATATATTTGTTTGATTACAAATAAGATATTACTCTGTCATCAACCACAGCATCAAAAAAGTCTCCAGGCGTACCATTTGCCAACATTGCAACTACTTCATCATTTACTCCCGACGGAATAAAAAAAGGTGCTATTAGCTTATAATTACCTACTACTGGACCCCAATTTGGTTCTATATTCGGTACTGGATCTTCACTACATTGTGAATCTAAGTTCGGTTCTGGATCTAGTATTGAGTTCGGTCCTGGAACGATATTACCTTGAAGATTACGATTATGTTGTTCTGGATCATGCATTGAATTCAAGTTCGGTCCTGGATTGATATTACCGTGAACATGACGAGTAGGTTGTGAATCTAATTTTATTTATTTTTTCTCTGTAAAAACTTTCGTACATTTTCCACCGTTTCTTCTGAATCTGATTCTTCTTCTGAACTACGCAGGTACTCACTATCAAAAGCTTCGAATGGTTCATCATCGTCATCGGAAAGTTTTCCAAAATTTATTGCAATGTTTTGCAATTCACACTCTGTCAGAGGTTTAGAACGTTGAGACATCTAAAATTACACAATATGTTGTAAAAATATTGTATTTTAAACATTATTTAATACTTACAGCAATTTATTCTTTCAATTTATTGAAATGAAAAACAACAAGAGCAATACACAATGCGCATTCGATTATTTATGTTAGCCAGGATGTTCTTCTTCGGCCTGGGCCACTCCTTCCGACGATCTTATCCTGTATCATGGGGTGTAAAAGGTTATACCTCTCTGATATTAAAAAGGTACAGATATTAAAAAGTAGAGGCGATAGAATACATCCTTGCCTCACTCCACGTCGTATTTCCACTGCTTCCGTTGTGTGTATCCAATTCGTATGTTTGCATATTGATGCCAATACAAATTTTTGATAATACGGAGGTCTCGATCATCAATTCCCATCTGTTGCAAGACACCTACCTATAAGTTTGTCTCGGTTTACTCGGTCAATGGCCTTTTCGACGTCGATAAAACACATATACTGATTGTTCTATATCCCTACATCTTTGAGCCATGCCCACAAACTGAAGAGTGCTTCTCTGGTTCCAAGGTTGTTTCTGAAACCAAATTGTATTTCACTTAGTTGTACTTCTATTTTATTGTAAATTCTCGAGTGCAGTATACTTTTTCAGAAAATTTTCAGTACATAACTCATCAGACTGATAGTGCGATGATCGCTACACTGTTTGGCATTTATTTTTCTCGGTGTCATTACAAATATTGACAGTATCCAGTCTGTTGGTATATGTCCTGTTTCGTATGTTTTATTAAAGAGGCTTAGAAGAGAATGTTGACGCTCATCATCGAGTAGTTTGATTATTTCGCTTGGAATTTCATCTGGACCGGTTGCTTTCCTATTCTTTGATAGCTTTATAGCTCTTTCCATTTCATAGAGTGTTATGTTTGGTTATCAAATAGCTCCCCAATATATTTTTTCTACCTCTGTAATCTGTCTTGTTCATTGACTATAATATTTCCTTGTTTTTCAAGTAAACTGCTTGCAGTTGATCTATATGTTCCAGTTATTTATTTCACCTTTTTGTACATGTTAAATTTGCTGTTTTCGTCTGCTTTCCATTAGTCCATATTTAATCAGTCATCCATTGTTGTTTGCCCTTATTAATAGTTTTATACTTTGTAATTGTTTCTTGCATAATTTTTTTTAAACGATTTTTTAAACTTCTTTTCTATCTCGTGTGTAATTTAATGACTATTATTTCGAATACAGTCAGTGTTTATTCGGGTAGTCGGTTGTTGGCGTTTTACTTTTTTAAATTTGAGTTTTATGTCACTGATTAATAAGTTATGATCTGAGGGGGCATCGGCTTCAGGTAGTGTTTTAGTTATTTTGATTGAATTTCAGTACCTTTCGGTAATTGTTATATAATCAATCTGATTTCTTATGACCTTCTCTTTACTATCTGCTGGTGACTTCCAAGTATATAAACGACGGTTGGGTAGTTTGAAAAATGTATTTGTCACACATAGATTATTCTCTACGCAGAATTCTACAAAACGGTCTCTCCTGTCATTACGTTGTCCAAGTCCAAAATTCCCTACAATGTTTTCTTGTCTACCTTTTCCTACTTTGGCATTGAATTCCTCAATTATTATTGTAATGTCTTTGTTTTTCAGATGACTCATTACCTTCTTTATATCATCATAAAAATTCTCTATGTTATCTTCACTGCTGTTGGCGCATAGACTTGGGCCAGATTTATATCTACTGACTTCTCACATTATATGTACCTATTTTGATACCTGATTTTATTCTTATTTCTTTTCAATTATCACAGGGATTTCGCTGGATGACCTGCCTGGGAAGCCCTGTGTGCCTGTCTTCTTCTGTCGGATCTTGGTGTCCGAGGACCATGATCAGTATCTTTTCTTATCATATGATAGTGCTATTGTGATTGAACTAGGGAATAATAATGGGGCGGTTTCCCGTTGCCTTCCCCATCGCAGTGCCACAACCATTTAAACTGCTCCAGTCATGCTTGTGATAGTCCAGTTTCAAGTCGATCCAGGATTATTTCCTCTGCGCCTTGAGCTGGTACTGATGATCGCTGCTGCTCTTCATCACATATAGTGATTCTATATGATCTCTAAAATCAAGGGATTGTCACTTCCGAAATCCACTCCGTACCGAAG